CCAGAGTGTCTCTGTTTGACATGGAGCAGAACAAGGCTTAGAGCACTAGGTCACTGTGCACAGAGGATCTGGGGAGCTAGTGAGTGGAACGGAGGGGTCAAACCTGTGGCTCTGATCCTGACCTACTGGCCCACTTCCTCCTGACAGAGCATACATCATCCCAGGGCTTTCCCAGCACCTGCTGCTCTGCAGAAGAGTGAGATTCAGGCCAGGAGGGTTGACCCTCACCCTTCCTTGTCACTTTGTCCTCCGCAGAGGAGAGGCGGGCCAGAGAATGGCCACTGGAGACTGCTGAGCTTCCTGAGGGCCACCTGGAAGACTGGCTGGAGAAGAGAGCTAAGAGGCTAAGCTCTGCCCCAAGTAGCAGGTACGGGCTCCAGGATTATCCCTCCTCTCCCTCTGGGAGCTGCCTGTCCTTTGGGGGAAGCAGAGACGTCTATATGAACTGCCGGGGCCCAGGGACCAACCATGAACCCCCATACGGAGTTTCCTGGAAACAGATGTGGCTCCCTACTTACATTTGTGACTAAAGGTCAGGGCCCCACCTTATGGCAGTGAAGCTCCCTGTGTACCTGGCTCACTGTCCCCTGTAGGGCTCTGTAAAAGCAGAAACTCAAGAGACAACAAGGTCATTATCCCACTGAGTCCCTGGGACTCGGGATGCTCTGAAATAGGCATCCTCTCTTCCTATACCAGGAACGTGCTGAGCCAGGATCTCCTAACGCATGGATGGTCATGTGCTCTCCTCTCTTTGGAGAGTCAGGACGCAGCCCACACTTCACGTCATCAGACAGATGCACAGGGCTGGGGTAGGAGCTTCTGTAGCCACATGCTATCAGCTGAAAACAAGGCCAGGGTAGAGGAGGTAGAAGGGCTAAGGCTGAGTGTGAAAGCAGTGTGTGGCTTTGTACATATCTCTCCTGATTTTCAGACTCCGTGTATCTCTCTGGCCCCGAGGGACAGTGGCTTAGCTCTGGTAAGGGTGTCAGTCAGACATTCTGTGGAATAAAAACCTTCCTCTGGGCTCTGCCACAGGGTAAATGGTGAGCTTCTTGTCCCCGAGGAAAGGGATTAGTGTTGTTATTTAATATTTTTAAATGTATTTGGGAGGAGGTTTAGACACACACGCACGAACGCGCGCGCACACACACACACACACACACACATGCACGCACTCCACGGCTTGCAGGTGAGTCAGAGGACAGCTTTCTGGAGTCAGTTTTCCCTTTCCACCATATGGGTCTTGAGTCTTGGCTGCAGTGCCCTCACCTGCAGAGCTGTGTCTCCAGCCTCTGCTATGGCATTGACCTGCTCTGAATTTTACCTTTTCAAAACAAACAAACAAACAAGCCCAGTGGCTTCATTGTTATGTGCATGGGTGCTTTGCCTGCATATTTGTCTGTGCACCATGTGCATGCAGTGTCTGTGGAAGCCAGAAGAGGGCATGAGATCCCCTGGAACTGGAATTACAGATAGTTGTGAGCTGCCATGTTGGGGCTGGAAATCAAATCCAAATCATCTGTACGAGTACCCAGTGCTCTCACCTTAACCTGTGCCCTGTATCTGTATCCCCACCTTAAAAATATAGAGTACAGGGCTGGAGAGATGTCTCAGCAGTTAAGAGCTCTGTCTGCTCTTCCAGAGGTTCTAAGTTCAATTCCCAGCACCCACATACATATAAAGTACAGCCAGATGGTGGTGGGACCTTTAATCCCAGCACTCAGGAGGCAGAGGCAGGCCTGGTCTACAAAGTGAGTTCTAAGACAGTAAGGCTACATGGAGAAACCCATCTTAAATAGCACACAAACAAAAAACAAATTATACACAGACACACACACTACAGATAGAACTTAAACAGAATATAAGGAAAATAACTCCTCTTTCTTCTGGACTCATTTAAAGGGATGTAGTTTTGAACATTGACTAGGAATGTAGGCTCCTTCTGCTATGTAAGAGGGTTCATGCTAGTCAGAGAGCCATGGGGTATTCATTCTGAGCCCACCAAAAGGGTCTATTTGAGCTTCCCGCTTGCTAACTGTGATGTATCACCTGACTACTCCGCTGTTCTGCCTCAGTAGTCTCCCTGGGAGGGAGTGACAGCCTAGGCACCCAGGGGCAGTGAGAAGGCTTAGGAAGATCATATCTCAGGCCTTGAGTGAGAGACAGATAAGTAGACAGCACCCAGTGCCTGCCTGGGCGCAGACAGGCATTCTCAATGTGGGTGTGGGCACTAGGGGAAGGAAAGGGAAACTGAGGAGGATTGACCAGACCAAGTCACTACTTTAGGTGGTGGCCACACGATGGCACGGTTTGGTGGTCATGGTGTATCTTGTACATGGTCCTGGGCAGCTAGGGAGCCCGGCACACTGCTATGCAATTCTGCAGTGTGCTCTTTTTGCTCAGGTACCTGGGTCCTTGGTCAGACAAGGAGGCCCTGCTGCTTGGGCCCCCAGCTCCTCTGCTACCATGATCAGGGCTGCCAAGGGCCCAGCAGCCCCAGGTCTCAGCTGACAGTGGCAGTAACTAAATGTGGGAAGATATATCTGTGCCATCCTAGGTTCTTAGAACTCTGAATCCTGGTTCCAGGGCCACCTTCCTTCTGGCCACTCTCAGGGAATTGCTTTTCTCTGTAGCTGCCTGGTGTCTGTGTGCCTAGCACCCACTTCCTGAGGCTCCAGGCAAGATGACTTCCTCACAGGGCAGAGCAAGCTTGTCTAGCCTCCCCACCCCCCATTAACAGGGGGTCAGGGGAGAGAAGGGTTACTCAGATGTGTCCCCATTCTGTTCCACAAACCTCTCCAGCTTTGTGTTCAGCCTCTGCATCTCTGGGCCCTGTTCTGTCCCCCATCCTGGAGAGGCACCCTATGGGAGCAGGGTTCCCTTTGCCACTGGGCTGTTCTCTGCAGCCTTTTCAGCTCCTCCCCACACCATAACCCCACTAATTTTGGAAGGTGCCTTGGCCCCAGGACACCACTCCTGAGGCCTCCCGATGCCCGTTGCAGTGTCCTCTTAGGAAGACCCCAGACTCAAGGCTTAGTGTGCAAGGACAGGGCCTGAGATGCAGCCTGCTATCTACCTCTTAACCTTACTTGGGTCACACTGGACACTGGCCTCTCCTCTCCTGGCAGAACCCTACTCAGCCTTCACGAAGAAAATTGTTCTGCCTTGGGACATGGTGATTATGAAGATACATTTAGGGCAACACAGACCCTAGCCTGGCTGACAGCACCAAGAGCCCTTTTGGGGACTCCTCCTTTCAGGATGTCTGCTTTTCCCTCCAGGGATGCTACCTGGATCACCTAGCACCACTCAGACCTGTGGGCTCCAGCACCCACAGGCAGAAAACCTCTACAAAGCCAGGCTGACTCTTAATGGGGGGTGGGAGGCTTAGCTTGTTGATGTCTGCTCCTTTCCTCAGCCTTGACCCTGAAGAACCAGCCAAGAGCAGACAGCTGCAGAAGGGGAGCCACTGGCCTCAGCCGGACAGGACGCACAGACTAATCCCCGGCTGGCCAGGCGCTGCTGTCCACGCTTCCTATTGTTGGCTCTTCTGATTGTGCGTTTATCCTTCTTAATCTCCCGCAGGCACCCTTCTCTGGGCCAGTGCTCTGCCCTGCACATTCACCTCTGTAAGACTTTCCTTTTGATAAGGACCAGGGCTGGGAACATGGCAGGCTGCTGCTGCTGCCCTTGTGCACAGAGCAAGCAGGCCATGAAGAGTATTGTACACCTGTGACCCCATGAGGCAGGGTCCTGGCAAGGTCTCGTGAAGGCTGCCCTTTTCCTGTCAGGAGCCTCAGCAGGCATACACTGTCTGAACCACTCCTTAGAGAATGGCTCTGAGGCTTAGGGGCAGGAACTCCCCAAGACCATTCCTTCCTGAGGGAGCCTAGCCATTACTGTGACCCCATGGGAAGCCCCGGGTGGCTGACATCTTCAGCAACTGTGGAGTCTCTCCTACACCCAGTCTTCTCTGTGCCTGGCGGAGCTTATAAAATCCCTCAGCACCATAAATCATGTCAGGAGCTGCTCTGTGCTTTCTGCACATTCCGGCAGGCAGGCAGGCAGGCAGCCACTGAGCAGGGGGTGTCCCTGTCCTCTCAGTGGGAGTTTTAGAAGCTGCATTCAGGGCTCCCAGCAAGACCTCCACTCTGGGCTATGCAGGTGTGGCGTGCCTTAGGGCAGGCTGGATGGATGTGGCCAGGCAAACTCTCAAGTAGTCCCCATCACCACCTCTCAGGCCCAGCATGTCCAGATACCTCCCAGGATACTCAGGTCCCTCTCTTTCTGCAGAGAGATGGCTGCTTGCTACCTGAGATGGTCAGGAACTGCAGGAAGTTCCTGAAAGTTGAGATAGAAGGAACCGAAGGGGCAGGGACCCCGTATATTGCTGCTTTTCCTTGTTTCAGAGGCTTGTGTGCTCGTAAAACTGGACATGTGGCTGACCCCTTCCTGATAGTTCCGCCTTACCTGAATAATGGGGTTTGCATGAGGATTCCAGGATTTCTCTAGGTCATGGTGTCTCTTCTCATGAGAGCTCTTATCCTGGCATGGTCATTGTGTCATTGAATGGCCTTCTGGTGCCAGGTCTGGAGTGTAGATGCCATTAGTGTCCACCCTTTGAGAGTCCCTAGGTGGCTTCAAAGATCCTGAGGAACAGTGCCCACCTGGGATGTCAGATAGGTGGGCTCAGCTCTGCAGGGTCTAGGTGGGGGCAGGGCAGGCTGCCTGTATGCCGCTCTGGGTCTGGATGTTCTGGGTTGCATCCAAGGACCCTCCCTTCCTAAGGACCACTTCAGAAGGGCCCTGAGTTTAGGGGTGAGTAAGGGGGTGAGTAAGTGGGATGAGAAGTAAGGCTTCTGTATAACTTAGAATCCCTTTCCTGCTTTCAGAGGCTTGTGTGCTTGTAAGACTTTGGAAAAATATAAAAAGGTTAAAAGAAACAACCCCCACCCACCTGTAACTACGCCATTCAGACAGAACCAGGGCTGACATTTCGCGTAACTTCCAGGGTTGTTTTTATGCATTTATATATGTTCTATATTTTTAAACAAAAATAGTATCATGCTATATACATTATTTTATAAGCTGCTTTTTCTCCTTACATAGTATATCTTTCTTCATCAGTGCATATAGGCCTTGATTTTTTTACACAGGCTGCATAGCATTCTCTGCTGTGGACGTGCATAAATATTTAACCAGTCCTCACAGGTGGACGCTAAGGGTACTTCCATATTGCCCAAGGCCATTCTGGTAGTTCAGTCTCCATGGCCAGCCCCCACCTTGGGCTCAGAGGGTCTGCATGTTATCAAGGTTCTACTTCCAGAAGGGCCCTGCAGGTGGCCACCCTTTCTGTCAGTCAGTATAGTGGGAGAGCAAGGTGGGTCTGCGAGGTACCCTGCTCTAACCCTCTACCTTTCTCCTCTCCAGAGCTGAACCCATCAGAACCACTGTCTTCCAGTACCCCGTCGGCTGGCCGCCAATGCAGGAGCTGCCCCCCTCCCTGCGGGCACCCCCACCCGGAGGATGGTCCGTACAGTCCAGAGTCCAGTGGGGCTGAGCTCTTCCCCACCTCCCTGCCTGACTTCCCACCTGTCTCATCAGTCACCGTAAAGACAATTGCCCAACCTAGGAAGCAGAGCCGCCTTCCCTCCATTGCCCTGGGGCCTCTGAGCCTGGCCTCCCCATCCACCCACCATCCCCGGGGCATTTCTCAAGAAGATGGGTGAGAAACACCCCAGTGTTTATAAAGGAAGTCTGTCCTGATGGCTGGCCTGTCTCTTGTTGGCATGCTGTTCTTGGCTACGTCCTCCTGCCTCCATCAGGGGACAGGTGGGCTGGAGTGAGACAGTGGCCCCTCCAGGGTACTTAAGGTAGTAGAGGCTCAGCCAGGCTGGGCATAGCGTATGCCAGTGTGGCAACAGCCCAGCTAGTAAGTGGCCCCAGGCTGGGGAAGGGAGCTGAGGACTGCCAACCGTCTCGGCCCCTGAAGAGCTGTAGGCTTGCATCTGCCCAGGCTGAGCTGGTGCCAAGAAATGGTGTGACACAGGTGGAGCAAGCGTGAGAGCTGGTCTCCGGCCTCGAGGGTGCAGAGAAGGGGGGCCCCCCAAGAGGGCAGGCCCTGGACTTGGAAGAGTGGTCTGTGGCCACTGAGAGTGTAGGGCTGTGGCAGACCCTCAGGGGACTCAGATCCCTAGGGAGTGGCTCAGGGCCTTCCAAGGTTACACCCTGTCCAGTGGGGAGTCACTCGGGCTTCAGGGTCTCTGCTTCCTTCCTCAGTTGGGCTTCTAGGTTCTGTGCTAGGAGACAGTTCTGCCCTTGGTCTCTAAGCCTTTGGTGGGTGGCTCGGAAATTCATGGGCCTTGGGGCCCTCTCATGCTCCATCTTGCGTGAGCATCTGCCTTTCCTGAAAAGCCCCGTGGAAGAAGAATCTGAAACCAGATCTCAGGCCCTTAAAGCCTCAGGCTCCTCACCTGTGAAATGGGCAGACACAGGCCCCAGAAAGTGCATGGAGGACTAGCTTTGGGTCTAAGGAGTGTCAGAGAAAGAGACCCAGGAGCCTCAGCCTTGTGCCCACCTCCACCCTGCCCACTGCTCTGGACACGAGTTTCTTGCTTGCCTAAAAGATCACAGCACTAACTGGATCCTGGAGGCTCCTGTGCAAGTCTCTCCTTTTCCAGGAGCTCCTGAGTGGTGGGAAGTGAATGCTACACGCAGGCCAGGTGAGGGCACAGGCAGGGTATAGGGGCTAGGGCTGTCCTCAAAGCCACCACCAGGTCCTCCACAGCTGGGCCATGGCTCCATGCAAGGCCTGTGGGGTGAGGATTGGGTGGTCCATGTCCAGGCTCGAAGTGCCCAGGGTTGGTGGCCCAGGGAGCAAGCTGGGGGGAAGGGCTGCAGGCAGCGGTGGGTGTGGAGTGGGCGCTGCGGACGCCAGGTGGGCACCCACATGGTGCCTATTTCATGCCACTGCGCAGCACCTGGTTGGCTGCGATGAGCATGACACTGATGATGAAGGCGATGGCAAAGGCGCAGATCAGGCTCTTGCGCACGCACGTCTGGCGGATCTGCTGGTTGGAACAGGCTGCAGCCGCCCACCAGGAACACCAGGGAAAGAGACAAAGGGGGACAGTGAAGGGATGGAATCAGATCTGCTCTTTGGCAAAAGGACTTGACTTGGGGCAAATGGGGACACCAGACTGGGATAAGTGAGTGGTCCCCTATGCAACCCTTGGTGTGTGCACCTGCTCAAGCACTGGAACCCACCCAGAAAGCCCTGAGGCAGGCCACTCACTCTCCACATCCACAGGGCACCCCGAGGCAGGCCACTCACTCTCCACGTCCACAGGGCACTCCTCAGCAGTGCCCAGGTGGCTCTCCTCTTCCGTCATGATGATGTTCTCGATGTCCTTCATGGACAGATGTTCACAGAAGGTGTCATAGAGGAGTCGCTTCAGCTCGTCCACTGTCAGCTTCTGCATGTCACACTGGGGTGGGTGGCAAAAGGGACAAGTGTTCTGGCCATTACCCTGCCACAGCCCCCACCCAGCACCCAAAGGCACAATCCCAAAGGCAGGCCTCCAGATTCCATAACACTGAAGCACCTACTGCATTCATTCCGCAGGAGCCCAGGCCTCCAGGGAGCAGGACACCCAGTGGACAGTGGTCATCCCCCACTTGTTGTGGCGTGGGTCTAACCATTCACAGGCCCCCACGACACCTCCACAGAGCAGAGTCCATTCAGCCAGGGCATACCTTCCAGAAAACTGTGTCAAAGTCAGTTCCATGGAACTTCTCTGGGATCCCCGAGGTGGAGAGCTTGGGTCCCAGGAGTGTGACAAACTCCTCAAAGTCCACTTGGCCATCACCTAGAGTGGGCACAGGGTCAAGCTGAGACGGCATGAGCAGGCACCCCAGAGTTCAGGGCATGAAATGGAGTCTTGGCCTGCCTCTGACCAACCGTGACACCTCAGTCCCTTCCCTGAACCTTCAGTCAATTTCAGGGGTGCCTAATGTGCCAGGCTCTGAGCTAATGTCAAGGCTACCAAACGTGGTGGAGCTCTACAGAAGAGCATGTGGGAGGAGAGCAGCAGATGGTCCCCAGATGTGGGACACCCTGCTGGTACACCCAGATCTCTCATGGCCCTCAGCACAGTGTGATCATCCACTGATATCCTCCTTTCTGCCATACAGATGGGAAAGGACCTTGCACTCTGGGGGGACTTGGCATTACTAATCATTCTCAGTAGTCTATCTTTAATAAAAATACCAGGTGACAGGACGGGCAGTGGTGGCGCACGCCTTTAATCCCAGCACTTGGGAGGCAGAGGCAGGTGGATTTCTGAGTTTGAGGCCAACCTGGTCTACAGAGTGAGTTCCAGGACAGCCAGGGCTCCACAGAGAAACCCAGTCTCAAAAAACAAACAACAAAAATACCAGGTGGCAAATGCAGCCGCCGTTTCTTTGTGTGGTAAAAGCTGAGCTATTTATCCCACACTCCTTTTCCATACTTAAAATCTTTCTCAGACTAGAGTGAGAGGGGCAGTCTTGGACCCTAGGACTGTCATACCTCTTCTGGCCTCCACTTTCTAGGATGAGAACTGTTGGTACATCATGACCACCCAGGAAGCAAAAACCAGAGTGGACTCAGGTCCACTCCACAGTTCAGGTCCTGGGGTGATGGTGGGCAGGTAAACAGGCAGGGCATCTCACCATCCATGTCTAGCCGCTGGATGATAACCTCCAGCTCCACTTCGTTGGGCATGTAGCCCAGGGAGCGCATGGCTGTTCCCAGCTCCTGCTTAGAGATGAAGCCATTGCCATCTCGATCGAATACCTTGAAGGCCTCTCGGATCTCTGTGGAGGAACAGAGAAGCTGAAATCAGCCCTGTCCCCAGCAGCCCCTTTCTGAGATTCCTGAGATCTGAGATTTCCACTCAGAACCTATAGCTCTGTTGAGAGCCAGTCATAGGGTGTCCAGGATACACTCTTGAGCTGTGATCTGGGGGATCTCTGGGCCGGCAAGGAAGAGGAGACAAAGGTACATCTGGCCTGAGACAGTGACCACACTTGGGTCTGACAGCCTTCCTGGTGTACTCAGGACTACACCATGTGGTGGGTACAGAGAGAGCACCAGATGCTGGCCAGGTTAGCTGCTGAAGGCTCCCTACTTGGTATTATCCTGCCTCATCCCTTCCTGCTGGACTTCCTGTCCCATCAGGCAGCACTAGCTCATGGTGGGATGGCCACATAATTCTAGCTAGTGAGTGATCGAACTCACAGGCCTCCTGGTTTAGACAAAGATAGGAATAATAGCGGATCCACACCAGGCCTAGGCATGATCTTTGAGCTTCACACTCTCCATAAGTACAGTAGGGAAGACTTAGGCCTGAGGATCTGAGGGATTCTGCACTTGGACCTAGGGAACAATGCACTTGACTGGGACTTTGGGACCAAACAATACAAGACATGCTCTTAGGCCAGCCTTAGTCTTCTGCACAGCAAATGGGTGGTATGTGGGAGCACCATTAAAGCAAGCACAGCAGGAAGCCGCCGAGGGTTCCTAACCTCCCACCTTTGCTCTACCTGTCTCTCTGCTGCCATCTCGTGATAATCAAATCCAGCGGGCTCCTAAAGAACATTCCCTAGAGGGACAGACTTCAAGTCATTCCATCCAGCTCCCTGTGGGCTCCTTGTTCACCTGCCATCCTCATGGCCTTGCCTAAATTGATTGTTCCCTGGGTAGAATTTCACTCAGTAGGCAAAGTCAAGGTGCGTGTGTGTGTGTGTGTGTGTGTGTGTGTGTGTGTGTGTGTGAGAGAGAGAGAGAGAGAGAGAGAGAGAGAGAGAGAGAGAGAGAGAGA